CGTGTAGAGGTCTAAATACATAGTGGTCATCATACATATGGACGTATATCCTCAAAGACATCCAGTAGATGTAGTCTTTTAGGCGATACATTGTATCGCCTAAAAATGTCTAACAGATATCATTAGTACGTCCAATTCCATGTGGCACAGAGCATTAATTCTGAAAAAATTCTTCTTTTCTTATATATAAATTTTTGGGAAAAAGAGGAGAACACCGAATAATTGTCAGTAAGGTCTGAGAACTATCAAAAAATTTATTAATTTTCATTTCGGCCGGAACCCAATTATATGAACTCACATTCAAGGAATCATCTCATCAGATATTTATCAAAAAAGAGTAAAAATTTTTCACTGAAAATTCTCATTATACCTTTTATCCTATTCGATGTGGTTTTTAAAATATGAGTAATTGAATTTTATTGTGTCCTAGTGGCGATTCATGGCTTAAGGTGACCCTACACGGTCAATAATACTGTCAGTATTAACAAATATTGACAATATTGCTGACCATGTGTGATTGATATTGATGGATACACTGCTTTCCATTTGATAATACAAGTCGACACGAGCGTCATTCTATCTTTCTTGACATTCAGAGAGTGACAAAGATAGAACGACACTTGTGTCGACTGTGTCTCCTAAAAGGAAAGCAATCATAGAATACTGATGGTGACTGGATTTTAATTTTCGGACATTAATATCGCTTTATTAGAATTCATGTCACAGTGTAATAGATAATATACGTAAAACAAAAGTGAAATATATTGTCAATAATACTGATCGTGTAAGATTGTAAAAATATAAATATTGCTGCGTACTGTCAGTATTACTGATTCAATATTACTGATCAGTATTATTGACCGTGTGTCAATCAATACGCGACAAATATGCCTCATGGGGACTCCATCCTTATAGAGTCTATAGGTCTGTTCGTGTTGCTTGAAATCCCCTAAAATTTTCAAACTTAAAATGAGATGGATACATATTTGGGCGTTAAAAAGATAGAAAGCGAAGATGTTGAGTACAAAAAATACAAACAACACGAACAGACCTTATACTACAGTATAACCAGTATAGGAAAAAATCATCGACATCTAGAATGGACCGCTGATGGCAATGGTGGGGGTAGAAAGACGATTAGAGTGAGAGGAGGAATAATAAGATCGTTCTTTCTCTGTTTACTGAAGTCTGATTGGTTGTTGTCAATCCAACAGTAGTCCAACAACCAATCAGGCTTCGGTAAACAGAGAAAGAACGATCTTATTATTCCTGCCTCTCACTCTAATCGTCTTTCTACCCCCACCATTGCCATCAGCGGTCCATTCTAGTTGTCGATGGAAAAAATGCGTGTTCGCGCAGGCATGGCTATGCAGCTTTTGACTACGTTTACACCGTGCATTTAGTCCGCGACCTATACGATAGATGTTTTTGTTTAACTTACAGGCTAAACAAGGACATCTAACGTATAGGTCGCGGACTAAGAGTACGGTGTAAACGTAGCCTTTGTTTTGGGCTGGATCAGGGTAGAGTCCTATATATAAAGAGAAGCGACATTGACGTCCGAGTTTCTGATTGGCAGTCTGATATGTATTCTGATTGGGTATCCTCTCCTAAGTGAAGCAGCCATATTGTAACCGCAGCTGTTACACAGCTGACACACGTGGCCGTCGACCACGTTGTTTACACTATTTAATGCGTTATGTAAGCCTTAAGTAATTGATCAATTTTTTACGGCTTAAGGCTTAAAATATCTATTGTAGATCTAAAGTAATGAAATACTTTATAGCTCACTCCGCTAACGGAGTCAATGGAATACAAATGTTGGTGGTTAGAGTATGTTTATGTTTACGACATTAGAGCGGTCGAAACATGAGGGAGTGATGATAGGGATCCGATCTGGTGGTGGGGGTTCGATGTCGCTTCTCTTTATATATAGAACTCTAGATCAGGGTACCTAATCCTCCGTATCTACAATAGGGTTTTAAGCCTTAAGCTATGAGAAATGGACAAATCACAGTCGATTATTTTCCTCGGATTCGACTGTAATGCGGGGTCTACAATAGAAGTCGTAGCGGTCGTAGGGTCTTAAGTCGTAGAAAATTGACCAATCACAGTTGATTATTCTTCTCATATTCGACTGTGATTGGTCAATTTTTACGACTTAAAACCCTACGACCGCTACGACTTCTATTGTAGATCCCGCATTACAGTCGAATCCGAGGAAAATAATCGACTGTGATTTGTCCATTTCTCATAGCTTAAGGCTTAAAACCCTATTGCAGATCCGGAGGATTAGGTACCCTGATCTAGAGTTCTATATATAAAGAGAAGCGACATCGAACCCCCACCACCAGATCGGATCCCTATCATCACTCCCTCATGTTTCGACCGCTCTAATGTCGTAAACATAAACATACTCTAACCACCAACATTTGTATTCCATTGACTCCGTTAGCGGAGTGAGCTATAAAGTATTTCATTACTTTAGATCTACAATAGATATTTTAAGCCTTAAGCCGTAAAAAATTGATCAATTACTTAAGGCTTACATAACGCATTAAATAGTGTAAACAACGTGGTCGACGGCCACGTGTGTCAGCTGTGTAACAGCTGCGG